CCCCAAAACCCCAAAACCCCATTCGTATATATTTGATGATATATTTTGCAATGAAAATTAATATAATTTACGAAATTAATCAAAGCAAAAATAGATTATTATCCTTAATAAGTTTATAATTAGCAATTAATTTTTTTAAAATTATAGTAAATAAATTGTATTTGAAATTTCATGACAAAAGAAAAGAGTTTATCCACAGGTTAACTACAGTCAACTATGAATGATTAAGTCTAAACAACTTTATTGAGAAAATTTTTTCAATTTACCTCAAAACGAGACAAAATCATGATTTTATTAGGAACAATATCAGCAGTTGCTACTGGTACTTTGCTGCCTATAATCGCTATTTTAATTGGAGATATATCAGATGCCTTTGAACCTTTAAATGACTCTGACTACAAACGAGCAAGCCTGTCTGAAATATCTAGTAAAATTGGTATTGTATCATTCTTCATTTGGTTTTCTGGCTATATTTACTTTTCTTTCTGGCAACATATAGCAGAAAATATTACGAATGATTTAAGAATCAGATACTTGAACTCATTACTTAATTAGGAAGTTTAGTACCTCGAGTAAATACAAGTTTAATAATTACCTTCTCTCCTTGGTGAAAATTTCAGTTAGATATCAGAATCAATAGGTTAGAAGCTTTCAGCATTTATTTTCTCTTCAGTTAACATGTTAGCAGCTTTAATAGTATCCATTGTAAGGGGAGTTGATCTCACAGCAATTTTTTTCTCCGTATTCCCTGCGATGTTTATAATTTTGGCATTTTTGGGTGCCATTGTTAAAAAAACTTCATAGTCTAAAATAAATGCTCTTAGCTAGATGACTTAAAAAATAGATGAAACTTTGTTAGGAATTAAAGTTGTCAAAACTTTTGCACAAGAAGATAGAGAGATAAAAAAATTTGGGGAAATATCAGAAAATTCAAGACTCAAATCTGTGAAGGCTGAGTACTTCACATGCGCTTTTATTGCAATATTAAAATCTGTTATTTTTGGCTTCTATGGAATGAATCTCTGGATAGCAACTATTTATATAGATTAGAAAAGAATAAACCCTAACACAGGAAAGTAGTATACAGTTGGAGAAATATTCTCTATAATATTTTGTGTTATGAGTTGCTCATCTATGACTTTTCAACTTATTCCTCATTTATAAGCAGTTCTCAAAGTTAGAATAATTGGAAAGTAAATATTCGACATTATTGAAAGATAACCTTATTAAATTAGTGATTCCCCAGTTCTAATCTAATAAAATATACCAAGTTTTAGTAGAATTGAATTCGATAAAGTTACATTTAGATATCCAAATAACAAGATTGATTAGTTCAGCAATTTTTCTTTCTAAATTAAGGCTCATACCTCAACTGTCATAGTTGGGGCATCTGGTTTAGGAAAAAGCACTATTGCTTAACTTCTTGAAAGGTTTTACGATCCAAATTTTGGAGTAATTCGTTTTGATGAAATAAATTTAAATGATATACCAATAAATGTATTGAGAGACTCAATTGGTTATGTGTAACAAGAACCTATTTTATTGCAAGGATCAATCAGAGACAACATTTTATTTGGAAATAAAGATGCATCAGAAATCGACATGAAAAATGCATTATAAAAGTCAAATGCGACATTTGTTTATGATCTAGAAAATTGGTTGGATACATATGTAGGCACATCTTCATTGATTAATCTTTCTGGAGGATAAAAATAGAGAATCGCTATTGCTAGAGCATTAGTTAAGAATCCTAAAATTTTAATACTTGATGAGGCAACTAGTGCTCTTGATCCAAAGAGTGAGTAAGAAGTGTAATAAGCCATTTTTAATTTATAAAATTTTAACAAAGATGACGAAAATAAGGAAGAGTAAATTACTATAATAATGATTGCTCATAGACTCTAAACAATTTAAACTGCATAAAACTTAATTTATCTTAGCAAAGATTAGGGAGAAATAAAAGTAATATAAGCTGAAAAAGGAACTGAGGATTACGAGCAAATAATGATAAAGCTTACTTTATAATCACAGAACAAGAGTATAGAAGATAAATAAATAGCAGATATAATTTAAAATGAAAATTGCAAGTCTCAGCAGCTTAAAATAGTAATTAACAACTAAGATGATATGATTTTTCCATCAGAAGGCAATGATGATGTCATCGAACAAATAAATAGAAATAATTAAATTGCGTCACTAAATATCAAGGAAATAGATCAAGAAAGTAAGCAGAGCAATTAAAATTTTGGAACATTTGGGAACATAATGAAATATTATTGTCCTAAATATTTAGTGTTAGCGTCTATTCTCTCGAGTTTGATTGATTCATTCGCTCATCCATTGAATGGATTCATATTTTCCAAAATTCTATTTGTTCTAATCAATAATCCATATTCATCAACCTTTGAAGAAGATAGAAATTTTTGGTGCAGCTCATATATGGTATTGGTTTTAGCTGCTGGAATTAGTGATTTTGTCAATAATGGTATACACAAACACCTGAATGAAAACTTAACTAATAATGTCAGAGTAAAACTATATTCCACTATCGTTAAGAAAAGATTCGCTTGGTTTGACAATAAAGAGAGGGCTCCTGGCATACTTAGCGGTTATTTAACAGAAGAGATACGCCATTTAAATGGTTTGACTAGTCAAGCAATTAACAATACTTTAGAATCAATTTTTTGTCTATTGATTGGAATTGGAATAGCATTCTTCCACTCTTGGAGATTAGCCTTAATTGGTATGGCTGCTTCACCATTTGTAGTCATTGGAGGAATAGCAATCTAGATTGCTTTGTGGAACAAAGCTTAAAACACAACAAAAGCTGGCAGTAAAGAAAAAATAAAGATCTAGCCTTATGATTAAGCTAATAGTCTAATCTCTGAAATATTAACCAACTATAAAACTGTAATAAGCTTTGGATCTAAGAATATTGATTATCTAATTGAAAAATATCAAGTACTTCTCTAGGAGCCTCATAGGAACGCAGTAAAGTATGCTCATTACTCTGGATTAATGTATGGATATTCAATGAGTAGCATGTACTTATTTACTGCGTTTATGTTTGGAATAAGCGCTAAATACATTATTCTTTATTATGATGACCCCGAAGAATCCTTTGTAGCTATATACACTATGCTGTATTCTGCTTTGTAGGCAGGAGTCTTAATCTCCCAAGTTCCATCATTAGATAGAGCTAAACAAGCAGCTCAAAAGATATTTTCTATAATATGTGAAGATGATAACTTGAAAAATCAACACTCATCAGTTAAAGTATAGCAAAATTCAGAACATAAAATTATAAATGGTTCAGTTCAATTCAAAAATGTTCAATTCAAGTATCCCTCAAGAGAGGAAAAGTTATTTGAAAAGCTTAACTTAACAATACCTGCTGGGCAGAGAGTTGCCATAGTAGGACATTCTGGAAGTGGCAAGAGTACAATCGCTAATCTAATAATCAGAATGTACGAAATAGATTAAGGCGAAATTTTAATCGATGGATAAAACTTGAAAAATTTTGAAGTATAAAGTTATTTGGATTAGATTGGTTATGTTATGCAAGAACCAATCTTATTTGATATGAGTATTAAAGACAACATTAAATATGGTCATCCTGAAGCCTCTGACTATGAAGTAAGATAATCAGCCATTTTGGCAAATGCTATTAAGTTCATTGAGGGTCGAAAAAATATTGGTTAAAGCACTGCATCAAAAGATTTCTCTATAATCATTGAAAATGATGAAGATGATAATGATGATTAATAAAAGTATAATGAATTTAAAAATCATTTTGAAAAAGAACTCTAAATCTATAGAGCATAATAATCTTCAGCAAAAATTGAATATAATATGAAGATAATATCTTTACTCATAGATTAAGGTGATTAATAAATTAGTGATAAAATTAATCAGAACACTTAGCTCTTAATTAAACTCACTTTCTAGTCAGATTAAAAGGATTATGATATAGTCAAACTTTTGGAAAAATTCTTCTGGGAAGTAGAAGTTCAAGAAATTAGAAATTATATTTAAACAGCACCTGAATGTGAAAACAAATAGGAAATTACAAGTGAAATAGAAGAACAGTTTATCTAAAATCAAGGCAAATTTGATAAAGAAACAGTTTAAATATTCTTTAAAAAATCACTTAATTCAGAAAAAGATCAGAAATAAAGTACTTTTAAAGAATTTATTGACAATGCACAAAATTTAGAGAGAATCGATATCATAAAAAAGAAACTTGAAGAAAAATTTTAATAGATTAAAGCTAAATTAGAAAACACTCATATTTTATCAGATGACTCATTGCATCAAGGGTTTAATAAGCAATGTGGTCCTAAAGGTTCAAAACTATCAGGAGGGTAAAAATAAAGAATTGCTATAGCTCGAGCATTAATTAAAAATCCCAAGATTTTGATTTTAGATGAGGCAACTTCTGCTCTCGATGAAGAGTCTCAAGAATAAGTTTAAAAAGCTCTTGAAACAGCAATGGAAGGTAGAACTTGTATTGTGATTGCCCACAGATTGAGCACAATATAAAATTGCTAGTGGATTATTGTTATGGATAAGGGAGAGATTGTTGAGC